TTCATATTTGATCTCTTGATTAAACCAATCCCACTTGTACATGATGCAAAGGTAGGGATGCATATTGTGGCAATCAAAGGCACGACTAGATGAAACTGATAAACAAATACTAAAATCTAACACTTCATTTTCAAGTTGCTAAGTTGCTGAACATCTTATGATGCTGCACTTAAGCCCCTGTTTAACAACCATTATTTGGTAAAAACAATATTTTTGATAGTAATTTTTAGGAAAATGTGTGGTTAAAAAGTAGTTTTGAGTTTACATACAGAATATTTTATTGTGTAATTGGAAATGATTATGTAGAAACAAGAGTTTTCAAATAATGAAAGCCAATCGGGGGCTTAACAAAAAAAGGTTTATTTAGTCTGAGTGCAACCATCAAACAAGATTGGCTTGCTTGATTATAAGAATCTTATGCCTGAATGTCATGTTTTTTCTCAAAGTTTTCTAAAGTCTATGCCATTTACTAAGCTAGTAAAAATAACTATTACTTCACATCATATAAAAGATAGCATAAGAAATTAAGTGTGCATAATTGGCTTTACTTTTCATGGAAAATGTCATTTTTCCACCCAAATTCCTACTTTTGAAGTGTTTGATTGACATTTTTTTTCATGAAAGATATTTTCCAACTTTTGGTTACGTGGTCATATTTTCCTCAAAAATAAGGAATATATTTTCTTTAGGAAATGATGTTATTTATTTTCGAGGTAATTTTTACTCTCTTATCTATCCCCCCTTTTATCCACCTACTAATAAAAAATGGACAAGTACAATATTTTCTAAATTGAAAATTAAATCAATGAAACACATTTAATTACTAATTTTCATACAAATAAATTGCCTAGAAACTACTTCCATACAAATAAGTTCTAGACAATTGAATTGCCTAAAAATTATTTGCATGAAAATTGTCAATTAAATGTTTTTGATTGATTTTATTTTTAACATAGAAAATATTATATTTGTCTATTTTTTATTGGTAAGTAGATGAGGGAGAGAGTGAATAGATGAGAGAGAAAGAATGAATGAATTACCTATAAAATAAAAACCTACTCCCCATAAAGAAAATATTTTCCTTATTTTCAAAGAAAATACGGTCACGTGACCAAAAGTAGAAAAATATTTTTCATGGAAAAAATATCAATCAAACAACACAAAAGTAGGAATTTTGATGAAAATATGACATTTTCCATGAAAAATATTGACAATCAAACACACTCTTAGTGTCATAGTATTGACAACAAATATACATCAATAGATTGGAGTTTAAGTTGTTTCATCCCTTAGAGGTGGCAATGATTGTATAATCACTTTTCTATGAGCTTGTTTGGTGCAGTTAAAAAGTCAATTAAAATCAATTTTTTGACTGTTATTTCACTATTACAGCCATCATTTTTGAATTATTCTCTCACAGGTAAGACCCACTTTATCTCTAACGGTAAAAAAATCAATTATCAAAATTCTACCAAATAAGCACTATGTCATAGAGACTATTACAGTCAATCTAAATAAAATCGTCACTCACCAATTATCTTCAATCCATTTACAACCATCAGTATCCACCACATGCAAACTGTAAGCATGTCGTGATTTTGAGGAACTGTTCTCAAAACTGTAGAAGAAAAAAATGGGCATCATTTTTAAGTACATCTCACATAACTAAATGTAAAGCATTAAATCGTTAAGCCCATATTTGATATTGAATTAAATCAGATTTTAATCTAAGTCAAAGTTAAACAATCAATAGTAACCACATATTTCAAGGGTTCCGCAAACTTTCAAACTATATATTTCAAAAATTTCTATCAAAATCTACTAAAAATCTAATTTTAATCCCTACCAAACAAGGGCTAAATAAAAAGCATGCATGGCCAACCTTAAAGTTTACTCAACTATTTTACTTAAAATAAGCAATTTATTTGAAGTACCTACAATTTTTTTAAGCTTAGCCAAACATGCTCTAAATTCAGTCAACTGACCTTTGATGAATAAGATTCCCATGAATGACTACCAAGGAGCCCGCTTTGACTTCAATAGAAACAAAATCCTTTTGATCATAGGTTGGAGATGGCTTATCAAAGTGAACCCCATTCTCATCTCTAACAAATCTTCTCACAAGGCCATCTACAATGACAAAAGAAGAAAAATTGACACCCTATTTAAGATATTTCGAGGCTCAAGAGGGTAGGGAGACTACCGAAATATGAGACATTGTTACCTTTGTGGGATCCCGGGATAGCCCAGAGGCATCCATTTATAACTGTAGCATCTTCTAAAGCTAGCCACAACCCCGTGCAAGTTGGTGGATCGGTGTATAGAAATGTATTGTCCTGGTGTGGCACTACTTCACCACCAATTCCAGGTTGCTGGAAATGAAATTCATGTACATTACCTTCAAGTGACTGATATATGAAAATGTGTGCACTTAAAAAGAAGATTGTCATCAGATCTGATACCGCACAACTTTAAGGGGAAAATCAGGAAATATCACAAATGTTAGGCGTTCTCACAATTATGACTGGACCTCTTAATTTGAGCTATTTAAGCTATGTAGAACGTCACGAGTCTGCTATCAAATGATCCATCAATTTGACAGCATGACAAAGACACATGGATGTGTGAACAATAGATGACATAAACCACGCTACGTGTAGAGTATAGACAAATTAACAAAATCCCCTTAAAAAGTAGATAAAGTAAAATTGGGAAAGTAGAAAGACTGAACAAATAAGGAAAAATTACATGTGTTTACCCCTCATCGAACTTAGCTGCATAAGTTTTTTACTGTGAAATTGCCTAGTAATACACAATGCTGTTCTGTCACAAAGAGGACAACGAACTCTCTGAATATTCACATCCAAGGACTAGAAAATCCAATACAACAACATCACTCCTAAACATCCCATTCCAAATGCAATACTATTATGAACATAGAATTGTACAAATATGATTCGAAAACAAATTATGATCAACTTTTCTTCATATTCGATAACTGAGTGTTGTAGCAATATCTGATATTGTTCTAGACTTGAAAAAAAATTATATCCGAAATTTGGACTTCCGTTTCTACTTCATAAACAAGGTAAAAGGACTGGTAGTCATTTGTACAAGAATGTTTGAAGAATATCAGTGTTAAAAAACCCAAACCCCGTCCAACACGGACATGTATCCTCTCGGAGAGTGTCTGTGCATCTTAGACATAAATAATTATGAAAGTCTTGAGTAAACTTGGATACCTAGGACTGTCTTCCTAACAAGTTGAACAGACTTCGAGTACATAATCTATTATGCAACAATTTAAAATACTAGTTTTGAACTTTTTTAGTTATCAGAATACAATTGCTTCTTCTTTTTCTTTCTCCCCCCCCCCCCCCCCCCCCCCCCTTTTTTTTTCTGTGT